ATATATTCGCACCCCACCCCCCTCAGATTCGGTCGTATATCTCACTTAAGCACAGGTTACATAAAAAGTAACAAGTGATTCATGAAAATATAGATAATAAGCTTTCATTTGATACCAGTTTCACTATGTCTCCAGGGGGGTGCTACGAAAACTGATTTTTCAGGTCTCAGCTCATGGACTATTAGAACTCTCTTCATGATAAGACCAAGTTTACTTGAGTTCGACACTTTTAGGATTAATTCGCTGCTATGGCGACTTTACTCACCCGAATATAAACAGCTTTTATTTGTTCAAGTCAAACTACCTAACTACGAAAAGCACCTGTCGCGATGAACAGCCAATAGCATCGAGAAAGTTCTGGTTTGCTACGAATTGCAAGACTTTCATTTGGTAAAAAATTACTGATAATAAAAATGAGAAGAAACAGATTGAAAATTAAAATAAAGAAAGAGAATGAAGGAGCGAAAGGTGCAGAAGCATCTTTAGAAGTGAAGAATAACTTGAAATTTCAAGACCAAAGAAAAGGAATCAATAATATTTTCAATTTTATCTGGAAGTTAGCAATCCGTCGTAGGCTGCAACTGTTTGTTTTTTAGTTTTCTATTCTAGATTCGCTGTTTGTTTATTTTAGACCCTTGAATGGAAACTATAGAGAAAATAAAAACAGTCTTAGTTTGTAAGGGGGAACAAACGAACAATAAAAAAAGACTATAAATTTGAAGTATTTTAACTGACTGTTCGCTGTTTAATTTATAAGTTCAAACCGATCCTCTTGTAGCTGCTCTTAGTGCAAAGAACCATGATACTGTTTCCATGGAGACGCATTTACGTTTGTAATTTCGAATTTTTATTATTGATCACTAACAAATTTGTGCTCCTGTAATCTTTCCTAGAAACTAGGGAGTATAATATATGATAATGTTTTCGTCACTTTAGATCATAAAATCACCTAAAGCGAACATTTGTTATGATATTGTCGACTAACCTTTTTGAGACGGCGTAAAACTTTTTCAGTTTTTCACGACCCGAACGATTTGTTGTCAAAGTAATTTCGTTTGAAAACGGTATCCAGAACGCTTTGAAACAAAACAATCCTTCCAGTTAGCCATCTGCACTAGAAGGGACTCTTCATAGTTGGGTAACACCTGTTTTGAAATCATTAGTTGTTCGGTTTAAGATGAGTCTTGAAGACACTATTTCTGCGACCGAGCTTCATGTTATGAAGACAGCGTTCGGCCTCTTCGATGGAAACGGTGATGGAAGGATCGATTTAATCGAGTTTGGCAGCGTTATTCGAGCTATTGGATTCAACGCGACCAACGAACAAATCTTATCTACCTTCAAACATTTCGATAAAAATGAAGATGGTGGGATAGACTTTGATGAATTTGTAGTCATGTCGAGAAACTTCGCCGGTTGCAGTCGAAACAAACTCGAAGAAAATCTTCGTCAAGCTTTCAGGTAAAATTTTTTTTCTTTAAACTTTACTGCGTGATCTTTTGAATTTGATATCTTACTTTATTTCCCTAAAAATTAGCCAGAAAAATGTTTATTTTGGCCGTTCGAGCTTGATATATTTTGACAGAACTTTAAAATAAATATACAGAAGAAACGACCAAAAGATGAAATCGAAAGCCTCCGTCATTTTGTTCAATATCAGAACAAATTTCTTTTTAAAGAAAATAACTGATAATTGCACACGGTTCTAATCGTTCTTAATTCCGTTAAGGTTTTATAAAGTAGTTATACTGGAAGTTGCTCCAAAAAATATATTATTTATTGCAAGTTTTAGTGCTCTAAAGTTGGTGCAAAAGTTGTTTTTTTATGTATAAGTAATGTTGAATTTTTGGCCCTTAGAAACGAGGGGCAAATGATCGAGTTCTGTACTTGAAATAATTCGTGTTGAAATATCTTACTGTCGTACTATTTATTTTATTTTATTTTATTTATTATTTATTATTTTTAAAAAAATATT